AAGGTAACAAGAGCTCAATGCCTATCTCTAAAATATGTCCCTCCTCCAGAGTGAGTGCTCAGGTGCAATCTCTAAGTTATGCCCTTCCTCCCCAAATTCCAAGATGGAAGATTGTCAGCAGAAACACTCACCTTTCTCTTGTCTGGCTACCTCAGTCAAGTGACTTTTCTATTTGTGTCACCTCAGAATTTCTTTCTGTGTACCTTGGAATGTCATTCTATGCACCTCTGGTGTCCCTTTGGATATGAGTCTGGGGGCAAGTGTCTGCCTCTGCCCCGCCTCTCACTGAGACTCTGAGAGAGACTGACTAGCATGTTCTCTGTGGAGCCTGGTTTCCTAAAGAAGTGCTGGAACCACTGTTGCCCCATGCCAAGTTAGAGCTGAGTCAGTAAGTTTAGCCTTGAGTTCAGGACCCCCGTGTGGGGACCTCTCTGGTGGCACAGGCTGGCAAGGCCTTGGTCATCTGTCTTTATTCACTGTGTCCAGGAGTTCAAAGGACCCACGCCCAACTTCTAGCCTAAGATGAAGTTGGTCTCTATAAACCACCTGCCCAACAATTTCCTGTAGAGATGGGAGAAATGAACACAAAGGAGACAAAGGCCAGGCTTGATCTGAATTTACCTAAATCTAAAGCCCTAAAACCAGATTAACTCCCAACCCTGCCACCACAGATAAGACTGACTCAGAGAGGTGAAGTGACCCCCAAGGTCATACAGTGAAGGCTGGGCTCTTGCCCAGCTGGGTGTCCTCCAGGCTGCCCTTTCACAATGATACAGCACACAGAGGTGCAGCACAAAAGTGAGGTAATATGTGAGTTACTCAGTTCTTGTGCAGAATGGACCTAATAATCTAATAACCAAGGGGGTGTAGAAAGCTCAGCCTCAGAGACTCAAGAATCTGAGTTCTAACTCTGCCTCGGTCACTTTCTAGCTGTCTGTCTTTGCCAAAGTAAATTCTGGCTCTAAGCCTCAGTTGCTACACTGTTCAATGGATCTAATAAGGCCTATCCTGGGATGGTTATGAGAGGACATAACAAAAATACCTAGCACTTGATACACAATCCAAACATGGTCCTCCTGTGCCTGCCTTTACCTCTGTACTCCATAGACTTAGAACTCAGGTAGCCAGTGGTGTGGGAGAAGGTGGACAGTACAGTAGAGAAGGGAGATATCACAGGAGCTTTCTCTAAAGGGGAAGGGGAGGAGTGCAAGACAGGAAATCAAAGGAGACAGGTTCCCCCTGCCCAGCTTCCTGTGGCAAGAGGAACCTTGGGTTCTCAGCCACATTCACTAAAAAGACCTCCAAGCCTGCTCTAGCTTTCAAGATCCTAAAGGTCTCTGTCAGCCTGGTCCAGTCTGACTATAAAGTCAGGTTTACATTAGATCCCAGCTCTACTTCTACTGGCTGCTGGAAAAGATCTGCCCTATGCAAGAGGCACTGACTGGGGATGACCTAAAACACATCTCTCCACCAGGATCTGAGAGTCTCTGAGGAGTGTCCAGCCTTATTCTTCTGCTTCTCATACAGCTGGCCAAATAGGGTGGACATGCAGTGGCATGAGAGTTAAGTACATGAGTACCTAGTCCAGGGCTGCGCAGGCCCTCTAATGTTTGGTGTCTATCTCTTCAACTCTTCATCTCCTTCTCATGGGCCTTAGAGCAGCTAGTGAGTTCAGAGACTCAAAGAGCCAGGGAGGCCCAATAATACAGATAAATCATTCAGCAGGGTATGGTTGGTTCATACCCTAAGAAGATCCCACAGTCAGGACTGAACCCTAGTCTCTTTCCCATATGACCTCCTGGTTTCCCTTTTCTCATGCCACCACAGAAGTTGAAAGGAAGGCTGGCCAGGGCATTGAGAGAGCTGGATTCCAAGCTACCCTCTGGCCTTACACCCAGGATTCATTTTCAGCAAGAGGTGGTATCTGCTTTATATTCAGTATCCAGGGCACAGTGTAGGCCTGGGGCCAGGCCAGGATGGAGGCCAAAAGGGAGGGAATAGGTGGAAATGGCCTTCAACAATCCCTTCCCTCAGTCCTGGCTTTGACTTCTGGGCCTGGAGCCACAGTGACTTCCAGGGACCTCTGGACGGACCTAGGGGCAGGGAGAAGATGGCATATCTGGGGAAAGGAAGTGAACCAGTAAATATGTAGGTGGGACTCCACCCCTTACTCTTGGGACCAAGTGCACAGGGCACGTGGAGGGGGCAGCTGGCTCTCTCAGATCAGTGGGCAGGCCAGGAACAGACTAGGGCAGGAAAGGCTGGGGTGGGTGGCAGAAGCTCAGCAAATAACTGCAGTTGAGTCCCAGCCTCCTGGAGTGGCCCAATCACCACCGGAACTCGGAACTCGGGCTTCAGACCTGCCAAATGACCTTGTCAAGCCACTCCCCTTTCTGGGTTTTCTCATCTCTCAAAGGATGAGCTGAGAACACCGTGTCCTTCAAAGAGTTATTGATGAGCTATGATGCTGTAATGTTGACTAATGATGTGGTCCCAGGCAGAGAGGGGAGGGGCTCTGAAGTCAACTGGCTTTTGAGTTCTGCTCCTACCTAGCTGCTACATGACCTTAGGCAAATGGCATTAATTCTATAAATCTGTTTCTTTCTTTGTCACATGAATACAAGCTTACTATTGCCAGAACTTGCATGAGTAAACAGTAGACAGATAAAAATGTTTAGCTCAGAAAAGGGGTTCTTCTTATCAGAAATGCAATCAGCTGCATAGAACATAAAACCCCTAAAATCTTGGGGATGGAAAGATCAGAGACCTCTACTTACTATCTCCCAGACTGCTGGTCAAAATGCAGGGCCAGCCCAGCCCCATTGAGATGCTATAACCTCTTCTTTGAGCCAGCTCTCTGTTTACCTCCTGTTTCCAACCCTCCCTCCATTGCAGAGGGCAGAGTTAGAAGGAAGCAATATGGAGATAATTAAAACAGAAAAGAGTAGGCTATGAGGTTGGTGATCTGGATTTTAGGCCTACATCTGCTGGGACTCTGCAGAGTGACCAGGGCTGGTCCCTGCCCATTTCTGAACGTCTCTATCTTCACATGTACCTCAGGAGTGGGGGAGGGGTTCATGAAACAGGGATTGCAAAAGGGCTTTTAAACCTCTGCTCAGTTAGAGAAGAAAGAAAGGCTGGGGTCCTGGCTGCTAGGAAGAGTATGTCTTGCCCACATTCTTACAACACCTCAGTTTTTCAGGTCCCCCTTGCCCCAGGGAAGACTACCCAATCTGTCCACAAGGGGGTCTGTTGTGGCCCCCAGACCCACCAACTTCAGTTCTCGGTTGGACTGGTTTATTTATTAACCAAGGCAGATGGAGAAGGTAGTTCTGCCCTGTTGACACAGAGGGTGGGGGTACTGAACCTGGTCAGACCTTTCCCTCCCCTCTTTCTGAGAGCCAGTTTAATGGAAAAACTTTTGCTTCTCCACTTCACTGTGCACTGCCAGTCTGAAATTTTTTCCAGGTCCCAGCCTTGTTGCATTCATTTGTTCCTTTCCTCATTCATTCATCCAACACGACTCTTCAATTTTGTGTTTGATACTGGGGATGCAAAAAGGGATAAAAACCTGTCCCTGCCTTTAGGGACATACCAACTGCTTTTTCCTTGCTTGCTCCTCAGACTCAGACAAGGGTCAAACTCTTGGGAGAACACTCTCTTCAGTCTTAGGTAGTATGGGATTTACAGGATTCTCAGACCTGCGCAGAAAGAGGAACTAGGACAGAGTCTCCAAGATAGGGAGACACACACAGATACCTGGATACAGAGACAGTCAAATGGCCAGACTAGAGATAGAATCTTAGTGAAGAAAAAATAGAAAAAGAACAGGCCAGAAGGTCACATGAGACAGATGAATAAAGCAGTAAAACACTAAGAGTGATAAAGAAAGATGCAAAATTAGAGGGGAAAGGTCAGATAGCTTGAGGCTAAAACAACCCAGCTCTCTTGAAACCACATCCCAGACAAGAAAGGCCCTTTCCTCCTCCAGTCCATCCATACCCAAAGGCTTCTAAGTCCAGCACTCTGCCTCCTTTGCTATTAGAATGTATTCCTTCCACGTGCATAGAGAAGGAGGCAAAAGAAAGGAAAGCAAAGAGCAGAGACAGCCTATTCCTCTACCAAGAGCCAACGGAGGGAAGACCAGACCACTTTCAAAATGGGACACTCACAGAAATGCTGGTTGTGCTGAAGGCAGCTCTTGCAATTGCTAGAGCAGTCTCCAACATTACTACACCATCCTGATTTCCAGAGGAAGTGTGTCTGGGACTCAAACCCCTCAAAGCAAGGAGAAACAGGAGAACTGTAGGATTGTGACCAAGGTAGGGGACTGACTGTTGAGGGAGCTAATGTGTCTGCATCAGCCATCTGTGATGGCTTCCATGACCTCAGGCCCCTTCTTCCTCCAATTCACCCTGGAATGGCCCTGAGTAAGGCAAGGACATCAAAGTTTTGCCTTTGGAATCTGTCAATCACAATATGAGTCCTTGCAGAAAACTCAGGGAATAGCCAAGGAGGAAAGTGGGAGGAGGAGGGCATGAGGCAGGGAGGATTCAGGCCTTTGGCACCCAAGATCACAGAGAACAGAGACAGAAACCCAGCTCAGGCTGGAAGATCTGGGAGTTGAGGACAGAAGAGCTCAGTAGGAGACTCACATCTGGAGTGACTCAGGTCAGGGACTGGATGAAGATCTATGGAGTAGAGGGATCCCAGAGGGAGCCTACTCTCCTAAATGGGCCTGGAAGCAGCCCACCTAAGGAGAGAGTGGAGTTAAGGCTTGTTCCCTGGTCTAACACTGGATGAATGAACCAGAGCCAGTCACATTCCTTCCCTGGGTCTCTGGCCCGTTTGTGTCCTAGGGGCTTGGCCTGGGAAGCTGTGCCTCCCCTGGCAGGAGGCTCTCTCTAGGCCCTGATGCACATCCAGGTGTCTGTGTCTGAGGCAGTGTCAGAGGCAGTATGGGTGCAGTGGGGGCAGTAACCCTGGCAGGGCAACCCTACCTTGATCTTGTGCAGTGTCCGGTCCATTTCCACAGCCTGCACCCACACGGACACACCAGCCTTGCTGTAGGTCAGGTTCCAGCCCACTTCGGCTTCACACTCTGACCGAAAGCTGCGGAAGTCCTGGTCGTCTGGTACCTGGACGCTGTCACGACCCAGGACTGGTCGTTGCCCTTGGGGCTCTATGGAAGCTGCTGGTTTCTCCATAGAGCGAGTGGGGAGGCCCTGGGCCCCGGTCCTAGCTGGGTTCTCCGGGTTCTCCGCGGAGGATCCAATAACGTCGACGCGGCTGCAGATGCTGACGCCACCTTCCTGGGACCTGCAAGACCGGTTTGGGGACCCAGTCAGTGCGCTGGGGCACGGGTGCGGCTTCCTGGGGTCCTAGGCAGGCAGAGGAAGAGTTAGAGATAAGCAGAGACTAGCCCCCGGCTAAGGCAGGCAGGCACGGGACAGTCACCAACGCCATTCCCCAGACCTTCCGGGGTTGATGGGGGGGGCTGTGTACAGAGTGCAAGGAACCCATGCGCATCTGTTAAGACCCTAAGTGAAGGTGAGGACGGAGGTGACAGCCCGGAGGGGGCTTGTGCAGTGGTGGCTGATTGGCCCAACTAAGTCGGCAGCCGCGCCGGAACTGTGCACCCAGGGAGTGGTGGGGGCGGGGTGGGGCGCGGGCCGCTCACCTGTGCCCGCTGCTGCTCCGCCGGGTCCAGGCGCGGGTGGCGTGCGCCGCCGCCGCTCCCGCCGGGGCGACCTGGGGCTGCGCGGGGGCAATGGGGGGGAGGAGCAGTAGGTACGGCCGCCCAGCCCTGCCCCTTGCCCCCCGCCCCGCGCGCCCCCTCTCCCTCCCTTCCTCCCTCCCTCTGGGATCGGCTCTGGGGCTCCCGCGCTCGCCTCCGTTGGGTATTTTCCAGGCTGCGGAGGTGAAGCTGACAGAGCCCACAGTCCCGCCCCGCCCCGCCCCGCCCCGCAGGGTCCTAGTGTCCGCCCGCGACAACCCCCGGGAAGGGACCGAGCACGCAGCTCTGGGTCAGCAGCCTCGAGCCATCAGGGTGGGGTTGGGAGCAGGATGGAGCGGGGACAAGAGTGAGTGGACTTTGGGAAAGAGGGGCTAGGAGGAACTAGAAGAGGGATTCTGGAAGTTAATTGTAAACCCCTTTTCTCCACCCACCTCCTAGTCTCACAGATACATTACTCTGCAATAACCTACTTATACACAGGCATGCTGTCCCCTGAGTAACCTGCACACCTACACACAACACCTCAGAGACCCAGAGATGGGCCCCCCCCCCCCCCCCAATAATCAACAGACTATCTCCTGGGAGGAGCAACTCAAAGATACCACAGCTTGCATCCTCCACCAACCCAGAGGCACATCACACCTCCAAATCCATTTCCCAGTAAGATGTCCCAACCCAAAAGGAGGCTGATCTCACCTATAAACTTTGAAGTTCATGAACTGGCCAGACTTTGGCAAAATTTCCTCTACTGTCTCACTCTTACATGAGAGCTTTCGTTAGTTAGCTAGAGACTCAACCAGAGAGAGCTGTGTCCTCACTCACCCCTTCCAGCCACTTGCCCCCTCAGTCCTTGGCCTTCATCTACTCTGTGTGACCTAAGGCCAGCAGCTCAACTTCTCTGAGGCTGGGCCAGTATGAGTGTGGCAGAGGGCCCAAGGCAAAGCATTCACTCACCCCAGTGAGATGCCTGCCAACCCTACAGGGGCTGACTCTGGGCCAGGGAGACTCCATGGTGAGGTCCCCTGGATGGGCAGCTAGCTAATAAGGTACGAGGAGTGGCTAATGCCTACCCAGTGTCACACAGTGAGTATATCTGGCCAATCTGATCAAAACACAGGCCTCAATACTCTAGCAGCTCCTGTCCTCTCTAGGGTTTTGTTTTTCAGCTGTAGAATGAGAGTATTAGGACCCTAAGCCACCTTCTAGCCTCAACATACTAGAGCTCTGGAATAAAACAGCTTGTATCAAAGGTGCTAAGAGCGAGATGAGTTTTCATATTGGGTTCACAAATAGAGGTGTTTCTTCCTGAAGTGCTCAAGGCACTGAGATCTGAGATGTTTGTAATCACACCTAAGTTTGAAAATGAGTGGAGGTGATCTGGGAGCTGTGATGGTAAGTAAAACTCAATGGGCATTCCACAAAATTAATTCAGCAAAGTGAGTTGCAGGTCCCCATGGGCACAGTGTGATGAACTTAGGACTTTAGCTTTTCAGACCTCTCTTTTGCAACATGGGGACACAGCCACATAATCACCCCACTCTCTCTGACCATCCCCTGTAAGTGTCTGGGAGTGAGTGGCAGGGGGCCAGGGCTAGCTCTGGGCCAGAAGGCTAGGACTCTGGCTCTCATGCATCCACCAATCCTGTCTCTGCCTCAACTCCACTCTATGTCTGATCCTCACAAGTCACTACCTCTTCCCTAGCTTCAGTAAATTTATCTAGCAGACTTCCTTCCAGGTTGGGAAGGTTCAAAACCTGCTCTGTGACCTGCAGCTTCTGGAGGGTGGGGGTTGGGGCAAGGCGGGCCTCTATACAAACCCAGATCCAGGAAAGTACAGATGGCAAGAACCAAACCGTCCATCACTCATCACTCAAATAGAAACACAGATTAAGAGAGGAGGAATCTATTGGGTGACCCTACTCAAAAGCTCAGGTAGGTTCAGCCCTGGGTTCAGGCTTACTAGGTTGTCAGTGGGTAGGCAGAAGGGCACTATTTCTCATCCTACTCATCAATTAATTCAGTAAAATAAATTAACGTGTCCTCTCAAGAGCCGCCCAGGAATCCACAGGTCTCTGGGGCTCTTGACAGCCTCCCCAGCTAGATGAGATCAAAGCAGACAGACATCTTGTTTCAGAATACCCCTGAGCAGCAAAGAGGAGCCTCCAATGGCTCAAGGGTAAAAGTATGAGCTAGCAGGGCTGAAGATGGGGATAGGGAAGGAGTCTGGAAAGAAAGTTCAAGGACTCAGCCACTGACTTCGCTTAGAGCAAAGGGTCTGTGAATCTTGGTGCTACCCTTTCTTAACTATGTGATTAAGGGTGGGTGACACATCTTTTCTTAACCTCAAATTCCTTATCTGGAGTAAGATCTCTTTGAGAATTACTGCAATGTTGTTGTTGTTGTTGTTGTTATGTGTTGAGTCTTTTGCAACTCATGTTGTTATATGCCATCAAGTCACCTGTGACTCATAGCAACCCTATGTACAACAGCCCTAAATCCTGCTCTATCCCTTGCGAATCTTATTGTCTCAGACACACCTATCCTCATTACCCCAGTCACTGAATCAATCCATCTCATAGAGGGTCTTCCTCTCCTGTGCTGTCTCTCCACCCTCTCAAGCATGACATCCCTTTCTAAGGACTGATCCCACCCCACAACATGTCCAAAGTATGTCAGATGAAGCTTCAGAATCCTTGCCTCCAAGGAACAGCCTGTCTTGACCCTCTCCAAGATGAACTTGTTCATTCTCCTAGCAGTCCATGGTATATTTAATACTCTTCTCCAACACTACCGTTCAAAGGCATCAACTCTCCTTCATCCCTAGTCATTGTCCAGCTCCCTGATGCATAGCAAGTAATAACAAAGACCATGGCCTGTATCAAGCACACCTTAGTCTCCTGACTGACACTGTTGGTCTTCAGTACTTTGGAGAGGTCTCTGACAGCAGACTTTCCCAATGCAATTTGTCTTTTAATTTCCTGGCTGCTGGAACCAAGAGTGTTGATTGTAGAGCCAAGAAAATGGAAGCTGTGTACAATCTCAATCTCTTCACTGTCTGTCATGATGCTGCCAATTGGCCCAGTGGTGAGAATCTTTGTTTTCTTGATGTTGAGCCTCAATCCATATTGAAGGCTGCAGTCCTTGACGTTTGACAGCAAATGTCCCAGGTCCTCCTCAGTTTCAGCAAGCAGGGTTGTGTCATCTGCATAACGCGGGTTGTTGATGAATCCTCCTTCAGTCCTGATGCCACATTCCTCCTCATTGAGCTCAGTCTCCCAGATGATCTGTTCCACATGCATCCCTGATGTATTCCACATGCATTTCCTGATTTTGAATAGTTATATACATGTATCCATTTCACTCTCCAGTTGAAAACCAAAATTATGACTGAAGGCGTGCAGGGAAGAACATACCATTTTAAAATGCCATGTTTTCAACCAAAAACATAAAGGTAACATTTGGCTTGATAGTTGTTAAGATTCTTACGTGAGATTAAACAGTGTAAAAAGGCTAACTAAAGTTACCCTTGCTCTGCCCACTGTACCTACTGCCTTAGCCTGTGTTCCTCTTCACAGGACCCCAAGGCAGAGTCCTGATCTAACTCCTCCCTGGATCCCAGTTCCAAAATGAAGCATCACTAAGCAAGAGTAAGAGTGGGTGTGGAAGGTGAGACTGCATACAACAAGGTGCTTAGCAAACTGAGAAGCTCAGAGGAATGTGAAGAAGCAATACCCAGCTGCTGATCAAGTACAGGGTCTTATACAACCCCCACCAGAGAGCAGCTGAGGCCTTGGGAGGCAGGGAGATGCCCCTGAGTCACACAGCAAGCCAGCACCCACGTGAGGATCTCTAGTATCTTAGGGCTATGATTTATTTCTTTAATAGGAACCTCATGTCATACTTTGCTTGATGCTCCCAGATTACCATTAGAACAGGGATCAGGCCACTTGTCTGAAGCTACTTGCCACCTATAACCCCCTACCCCCAACACTCATCTCATTTACCCTCACTAGTTCCCACTAGAACTATAGGCCTTTAGACTGATGTCAGCTGACCTCACTCTCTCATTGTACAGATGGAAAAATAAAGATTCAAGAAGAATAAAGTGGAGGTAAGAACCCTGGTCTCCCAGCTCTTAGCAGAGGTTTTGTCCCTCCTCCTAAATGCACTGACACAGTGACTGTAAAAAATGGGCTCCAGCATATCAGAGATTGTGAGGATGGCGCAGGATAGGGCAAGGTTCAGCTCTGTTTTCCATAGTGTAGCTATGAGTCCTAGCTGACTCTCAGGCCCCTAACAACAGCGTCCTCCTCATTACATATGCTTCTCTTCTGCTAGCCAGTCAGTGATATGGACCAGTCACCACACTGTCTCAGCCTCAAGATTGAATATTTCCATAGCATTGTGTAGTGTTGTGATTTTTAAGGATGACTTTTCTATCCGTTGTCTTAGACCTGACTATAGGGCCAAGTGGGAACAAGTAAGTAAAATGAATCTTTTAGGGTCTATCCATCACCCTTACTTAGCTCCCTGGGGGCATAGTCTCCAGCTGTCCAAGTACATTATAAACAGCTGCTTG